ATGAATAGAACAACCAAATATTTTTTTCGCAGAACGAATATTACAAGAAATGCTCGTTGTAGAAGTGATCTTGTACAAAGAATTGCTGGGTTTCCCAAGTTATGGACACTTACGTTTGCAGATTGCTTCAGTCTGTATGTTCAGCTGTTGAACATATTTGCTACAAGCTACAAGATCTCAGATACTTACCCACAAAATGGTATTAGTAGCAAAAAGGAAATACTTCACAACACAATGAAAGCTTAACTTCTCCCTCAGTGAATTTTCCTCCATGAAATTTTCTGTCCTGAAACTTTCTGAGGAAAACAAATCTTTGACAACTCTTGATCAATGATTCTTCGATCACCCAGGAACCAGGCCTCCCCGGGAAACTATGCCGCACGGTATTATGGGTCATTTCCTTGTCAAAACAAAGATGGCAGCAGCAGTGCCTTTCAACGTTGTTTTTGGAATCAACGAAACTCCCTTAACTCACGCTCTGGAGACAAGACGTTTTGATGAAGCATTAGAATATATCAACAGTCGGTACGGAATGTGCTTGGATGAGGGATTTTACCAAAGAATTCCACTCTATATCGTTCTTTCCGGGGAAAATTCTGCAGTTGACGGGGAAGCCATGCCCATTCACTTAAAAATCGCACGACGACTGATAGAGAGAGGTGAGATTTCTCAATATGATTAAATTTATTTGTCAATGTGTCGATTAGCTCTACAGGTAGAGAGCCATAAATCAGCAACCTTGTACATGTGATTTATAAATTCATGATTCCAACTGGGGTGTACTTCAGAAATCAATGCCATAAGGGATAGACTTACAATGTAAGACCTCAATTTCATGAAGGTCTACATCTTCCTTACCAAGTCTACATGTATGTAATTCGGGATGGTCCCTCTACATTTTAATTTTTTTTATGTTTTATGTTTTGTTTTTATCTTTCGTTAATGAACTTCAACGTACCAGTAATTTACAGAACTTTTGTGACGTTCATATATATATATATATTTTTTTTTTTTTAAAGGGGCAGATCCAAATTTGAGAATTCCAGAGGTGAGTATGATTTCTGTTCTAAAGAATCAAACCTGAATGAAATTGTTGAGAGCGACAAGTCTTGCTGATATTTCTTAGAGTGTAAACATTTTTGTGGTTGCCATACCAACAAGAAATGTCTACAGAAAAACCAAATACTATAGTATTAAGCATGTCTTGGAGTTTAACAAGGTCACTTTATGTCAGTTAATTATTCAGTCACTGGTGAGTAAATAATTATTGTTAAACACATCTTAGAGCATTGCATCGTGGTCTTGGTTGGTTATTCAAGGACTACAGTAGCTTTTATTGTATCTGGTGCTTTTTAGTATAGGATAGTGACATACTAAAAAGACCTCATTCTCTTTGATGGTTTTCATAAACTCAGTAAATAACAATGAAAATCTAGACAAATGCAACCATGAAATTTTTTTTTTTTTTTGCCAACTTAACATCATCCTGCCTTTTGTTTGTCACTCCGTAGACTTGTGGTGCTGAGTACATTGGACCTGGCACATCTCCACTACAATGTGTCGTCAACTTCTACAACCTGGTTACAAGCAAAGACACCGTACTCACACGAGATGCATTATCCACACATGAGGCATTATCCCTTAATGGGAAGAGTATAAAAGACACTGCAGACTTGATTGAAGAACTGATAAATGTGGTGTGGTTGCTATTGGGTCATGGAGCTGAAGTTAATGTTAGAGACACTGAATCAAAGACACCTCTGCACACCACGTTGTTGAGGTCACAGGACTTGCGTATGGTACAGACCTTATGTGACAATGGTGCTGATCTTATGGCGACTGATTGTCATGGCAACACACCACTTATGTCTCTTTGTAGTCCACTGCCCTGGTGTGATGGCATAGAGCAAGGACCATGTCTTGATAGCGACATAAGTGAAGCTGTGCGCTTTCTGTTATCTTTTGAAAATGTAAAGGTATGTTTAGTCTTTGATTATTGTTGAGTTGGAACAGTTTTCCATAGCAACTAAATACAAAGTATTTATGTCTTACCTTCTCAGTTCATGCAATCCCTGTCTTTGCTTGCATCGCTTGACAAATTCTTAATTAAAGAGACTTGCCGGGACATTTTGTGATAAACTCTGTAACAATGACGATATTGGAGCACTGCTTTTTGAAATGCAAACTTGAATGGTAAAAGAAAATTGAATTTAATAGATTATTTTCAAATGGTGTAAGAGAATAAAACTGCCAAAAATGAATATTGCTATGTTAGCAATGTAAATATTAATCATTGAGGTCATCGCATTGATCATGGTAAAGGCCATGATCATACTGGCCATTAACTTTGTAGTATTTAGTACACAGTAGCAAATCACTGAAATGAACAGGTTAATCATAGTGTTACTGACATTGTTAACAGCACTTGGCATAACAAGTTTTGTTTTCATTCAAGATTGATCACTGTGGAATTCACAGTAGAACAGCTCTGTTCTATGCTATGCAGTCAGCTAACTTTAAAGTTGCAACGATTCTTCTTGATCATGGAGCTGATCCCAGTCTGCGTGGCTTGGGCCCTGATGGAAGGTAAATATGTTATTTCGTTTTTTATTAGTTGAGGCTGATGAATGCACCTCTATAGCTTCTATTTAAATGTACATCTCCTTTGAGAGCACACCAACTATGCATGGTGTTTTACCCTCCTAGAGACGACCTTCACCCTTAAGTACAAATGGTTACTCATCTGTCCAGCTATTCAGAGACATTACCTGACAAGACATGCTGGGTGGTAGGGTGGGCAGTGGGCGGCAGCAGGAGCATCACCCTTACAAATGAATGTAACTGCCTCATGCTTAAGAAACCAAAGTTACACGTGAGTGCCAGCTCTTGGACTTGGGCCTCTATACTCAAAGAAAGCTATCCAGTTTATAGAATGATTGTAGAAGTACATGTAATTTTATCCCAGACATTTATTTTTTTAGATAAGAATTAAATTTCTTTTAATATTTCTTTACTTCTCAGATACATTTCTCCCTTGCTAGCCGCCATTATTCCATGGTCGTCCATTGGACGAAAGGATACATGTGCAGTTTGCCGAGAGCTTTCCCCTCTAGTGGATAAAGGCTATTTTTCTACTGAGGAAATTCTATTGGAACTCCTTGATTACACCTCTTGGGGAAACCCAAGTGATGTGTCTTTACTAAACCTGAAACAATTTGGAATTAGCTTGATTCCCATGTTGTTTGGACAAAGCATGTGTAAGTTGCGCCAACTAGCATCAAGGATGTTTATTGACGGTATGTATGCTGGTGAGGCATTTGGACTGTTGAGTTCAAGCGAAGTGGCATGTTTGGTAAGAAGACACAGTCTTCCAGCTGAACTCATCACGGATTTTCAGATTGTCTTGCTGAGGCATAAGATCTTGAATGCCTTAGCAGAAACAGACTGGGACTTGTGGGATGTTGAGGAGTTCACGCTGGATGAAAGCAGTGAATATGATGAATCAGACGATGAGTATTGGTAGCTTTCCTTGAAATATTTGCATCATAAAAGTGACTGG